GAGTGGATGGAAAAATTATCACCCTATTCAAAAAGGGATTTTCTCTTTTCTTTTCCTTTTCCTGTAAATATGGATATGGGTCTTTCTTGTGAAATTATCTAGTTTTACTACATCAGCCCTGACAAATTATTCAAATGATACATTCTATGACAAGGTAAATAATTATTTAATTAAACAGCTCACAACTTACAGACAGGCAATCTATGACAAGAGGTGTGGATGATTATTAATGGGTTGCACAAGCACAAACAAACAGGGAACACTGCTGTAGCGAACTGAGTGCAGGCTAGCGGGGCTACAGCTTGATAGTGAGACATTTCTGAAATTTTTGTCTAGATCACCAATTCTGTGGCTCTGAAGCAACCCAGATGTGTGTTTTGTTTATAAATTTCCATATAGAAAAAAGAATCCATTGTCTCATATATATATATATATATATGTGTGTGTGTGTGTGTGTGTGTGTGTATGTATGTATGTATGTATGTGTTAAACACAGTCCATCTTCTGTTTTCATGAGCGCGTGGAGGCATAAGAGTGAAGTCTTGTCTCCATTCGCTCTTCATAAATGTGCTTGTCACCAGCAGCTTCAATACTACATACTGGACACAGCAGTAGCTGATATGCTGTTTCACTAAGTAAATACAAGGATAGTTCAATAGAGTTCATGGGTTTTGATTTATTGAACATCACTGGCATCAAGATAATTTCCCATAGTGCACTTTTTTTTATCAGCTTGACGAATTTATCTGTCCTTCCCTCAGAAATCTGACAAAGAATTATCATCTTGATTTGTGCTCTTGTTTGTGTATTTTCTTTAACATTTATACACAGTTTAAATGTCTTTTTCTTACTTGCAGGTATATCATTTGTATGTGCAAATAAACTTTAAACTAAAGTGAAGATGTGGCTTAGAAGATTTAGAAACCAAACTGGAAACAGTCAGTTACTTATTATTGGATCACAATTGAAATTGAATTTCTTTACATTTAGTTGTACATGCTGTTGTGTGAAAAGTTTGCGATTGTACTCACAGAGGGTATATGTATGTGCACGTTTCTGGAAGCATGTGTGTGTGTGTGTGTTTTCATTTCTGTGTTTGTTTTGAATGGTGGCCAACTTTCGGCCACTGTGGAATCAGGGCGCGTTTGACAGGGCCAGAGGTGAAAGAGCTAAAGATGACTCAGCAGAAGAGGAAAAGAAAAACCGACTTGTATTCTGGACCTTCCTCTCTCTCTCTCTGCTCATCTCTTCACATCCATGCTGCACACAATTACCACTGTTTTCTCTAACTTTTCTGCTGCCTTCTCCATATCTCCCTGTTTGATTTTACTTTCTGATTGCTTCCTTTTATATTTCTTTCCCTCTTTTGCTTCTCTCGCTCTTGTGGTCTGGCCTTTCTCAGCTCTATATTCTAGCTGTGTATACGTTAGGGGAGTTCTGGCTCAAGTCCTTGCATGTGTGTTTCTGAATTTTTTTATGTAACGTTTTATGTAACGCTAAGTTGTGTGTGTTTATATGCTGTATAGGCTTGACTTCATGCAGAAGCACATTGATTTGCATTACTGTGAGCAAGAATATTGACAGTATGTGTGTATGTGTGTGTGCATGCACACAAATTTATTTCTCTGATTCTGGCTTTTGGATGCTTACTGCAAGTGTAAAATAGTGTGTGCAGTCCATTCTCTCTCTGTCTGTTCTTGTGGCACATCATACAGCTCTTTCTGTGTACATACTCTTTATATACAAAACTCTGGCTGCAATTAATGATTAAATTTATTCTCAATTAATCCGCTTATTATTTTTTACTATTATTCCATTAATTGCTTAGGCAAGAGAAGAAAGCAACTTTTTATGTATAGCATAATTCATTCAGGACACAGCTTCAAAGACCTTTTCAGACTTTTAAATTTCAAAAGAAACTGGAAACAAACATTAAAAGAGTGAGTTCAAGAAAATGCGAATACACATTTAAAGGCAATTCCGATATAAAAAAAAAAGAAAATAAGATGATGAACAGCATTAGAAGCAAATAAAGGCTATGTTTAAGTTTAGTCAGAGTTTGGGGCACACTTTAGACTGTATGTGCAACTGTTTAGTGTTAAAAGTGGCAGAAAAAACAAATTCACCTTCATTTCCCAGGAACCATGATTAAGCAATTGATGAACTTAAAACAATTTACATTTCTGTTCATCAGCTAATCAATAAAATGACTTAGAATGCATGCACTATTTAAAACATTTGATATTGTCATTGTATACATGTCTGAGGGAGGAATCATAGTTGGCATAAAGACTGTTAGACTACACCAGGAAGGGAATGTTTGAGGGAGGAAAAGATGACTTCCGTCATTCTTCGTCTGTCTCTCTGTCTGCAGGGAGGTTCTAGAAATGTCAACGTCAGCTGTCAGCCCGTGTGTATGAGAAGCTACTGTGTGAGTCAGCTGTCTATCCCGCTGTCCCACACATAGACATATGTGCAGTGATGCAATAAGAAGAGAAATCATTATGGTATTGGAGCTTTTATAATATAAAACATGCTTGTAAATTGTGTTTATTGCAGCATTCTACATATTTGACTTAATAAAATAATAGGAAGGAACAGAATTGTACAAGACAAAGCAGGAGAGGCACACACTCCTCTGACTGTCTGGGAACATAAAGCAAAGCTATGATATTACCTAACTATCCTTTGTCCATGTTCTTTACAGTGGGGCAAATAAGTATTTGATACACTGACGATTTTTCAAGTTTTCCCACTTACAGAGAATGGACAGTTCTATAATTTTCATCGTAGGTACACCTCGACTGTGAGAGACAGAATCTACAAAAAAAATTCCAGTAAATCACATTGTTAGATTTTTAAATAATTTATTTCCATTTTATTGCATGAAATAAGTATTTGATCACTTACCAACTAGCAAGAATTCTGACCTGTTAGTTTGTCTTTAAGAAGCCCTCCTATCCTCCACTCATTGCCTGTATTAATTGCACCTATTTGAACTCGTTATCTGTATAAAAGACACCTGTCCACACACTCAATCTATCAGACTCCAACTTCTCCACTATGGGCAAGACCAAAGAGCTGTCTAAGGACACTAGGGACAGAATTGTAGACCTGCATGAGGATGGGATGGGCTACAGGAGAATAGGCTAACAGCTTGGTCGAGATGGCAACAGCTGTTGGTGGAATTATTAGACAATGGGAGAATTTCAAGATGACTGTCAATCTCCCTCGGACTGGGGCTCCATGCAAGATGATCCAGAGGAGGCATGGGAGAAGGTCATGTGGTCAGATGAGACCAAAATAGAACTTTTTGGTATAAACTCCACTCACCGTGTTTGGAGGAAGAAGAAGGATGAGTACAATCCCAAGAACACCATCCCAACCGTGAAGCATGGGGATGGAAACATCATGCTTTGATGGTGCTTTTCTGCAAAGGGGACAGGACG